CCCCAAAACCCCAAAACCCCAAAACCCCATGACTCTTGAATTTATCAAAAACTAACGCAATATTTAGTGAAATAAAAAATAGCAAAGATTCAAGAAAAATATATTAAGAAAAAATAAAACATCTTTAATATACGCTATTATAATAATGACTGAAACAAATAAAATCGAGAAGAATGAGATCGATATGAATTCTCATAGTATAGTACTAAATGTCCATAGAGTTTTCACAAATAATGAACTCAGGAATAAAAAAGTATGCCTTGATAGGTTTGCATTTGCCAGACCTGAATCCCCAAAGTTGGGTCAGCCTTCAATCAAAGTACATTATGAGTCTTTTGACAGAGTAACCACCGAAAAGTATAAAAAAGCAAATAACCTTTTGGGAAATATCACTCCTTCTCTGATTAGTAAAAATCATTTTGCCAAGTTAAAGAAACACAGATTCTTATCTCCTTAAAATTCAAACTATGTAAACTTCTAATAACTGGCAATGACTTTCATGTCCCAAGATGTGAAAGATTATTAATAAGCATTGGATAGACAAACTATAACTATCAAAGGTGTTATGGCAACTCAATCTCCTTCGCTCTTGATTACACCGAAGAAAATGCAGATTGAAAAGCTTAGAAAGATAGAAGTGCTCAAAGCTAATAGAAATATTCATAATAAAGATGATATCTCAAAGAAAACACTCGAAAGAGAATCTCGAGAGGATAATAGATAGGAAGAATTATAGTTTAATGAAGGTAATCAAACAGGCAAACTTAGTGATATTGATTAAAGCAGAGCTAGTAGTGCTATCACTAGTTCTAAAGTAGTAAAATAAACGGCTAAACAATAGTTTTTCTATAAGAGAGGGTCTTAGAAAAGGATAGTGGGTAGTGTTGAAAATGTTGGAGACTATTCATCTGACTTCATTACGAAGAATTATAGAAAAGACCTGAATCATTAGTATTCTGGCTAATATACAAACTCCAATGGTATTGAATCTAGTTCTGTCACCAATTTTCTTTAGAGCTATTACTAATCGAATCCCTATGATGTCAAACCTGATGAAATTATAGGCTCAGATGGGCAAATCTTAGATTAGAATATGATTTAAAACTAGTTTACTCATAAGTATAACCAGCAAAAAAATAGAAAGGAGCTATAAATGTTGCTAGAAAGCACATAAGTATAATCCACTGTTGAGGATGAGAATTACTTCAAATTCGCAAACAATCTAGATCCCACAATATTTCAAAATGAATTCACCGTCAAGAAGTAATCTTCAATAATGAACCAATCTATTATTGAAACATGGGAGTAAAGACCTTCATATATTAAGTATAATCCTGAACCACTAAAGATACCTCATCTTTACAAGCAGTAATAAGAGTATATTAAAATTCATAAGGAGAACTCGCTTAATCAAGATAGCGTCAGCCAGAATCTTTAAGAACCCTCGTATATAAGCAATACTTCATAATCGAAAAGATCGCCAAACTTGACTCCTAAAGTTCATAAAATGAAACTATAAGAATCGAATAGACACAGATCTCCTCTTAATGTAGTTAATGTTATAAATAAACCGAAAAAGAAAGAAAATAGACTGCCAAAAGAAATTATAGATGGATCTAATATTCGAGTAGAATTGCCGAATTCAAATATTGCCTCAAACTCTTTACTCAGAGAAGGAGGAGAGCATTAATCCACTTTGATCATTCTTAGAGAGAACAGTGGTGGAGATCAATAAATAAAAGATATTATTGAAGCTAGTGTTGGTGGTTCACCAAATCAAAGACAAGCTTAAACCACCTATCAGAATATATAGTAGAAAACTGAGGAAGTAATACTTTAGGATAGCTACCATGATATTTCAAAGTTAAAAACTAACTATTAATTAAATAGACCGCATAGAAAAGGGAAGCTTCCTATTAGCTATATGAAATTTCATGCAAAAAACAAAGCAAATGAAACATTTTAAAAGTAAATTAAGCCAGCCATTGAATGCGAATTTAAAGAGCAAAGTGAAATCACTGGTATCGTAGATTAAAGCATCACAAACAAACTAAATGGATCACCAGATGTAACCTATAGACAAACAATCAATTTAAATAAGCCCTCTACAGCTAGTAATTCCTCCCCATTTAGAAAAACTAAAAGAGGACCTCATACTAAATAGCAAGAGTTTAAGTATTATTCTCAAAACACAAGAGGCTAAAGCCAATAGAAGTAAAATTTCAATAACAATAGCTAGTATTTATACAAGTCTGATTAATCTTCAAATCAGAATCTTAACCAAGCAAAGTTTATTGAAAATGAAATGGACAAGAAATTACCAGTCTCCAATTAACAAGATATGGTTATTAATAGAAGATAGACACATCTCATGAGATATATGAACAATAAAGGTAAGAATTCGAACACTAATAGAAGTGTGGTAGTCAAGACTAAAGATTTCAGTTTCCCAAACCCCACTATAAAGGAACAATCAAAGTAGCAGAATACTAACCTTCATTATTAAATCATGGTAAATTAATAGCAAAAGAAGTTGAAACAAAACAACAATGACTTGAATTAATATGTGATTCCATCCTCCTTCACATATTAGTAAGTTTAACAACAAGAATTGCAACCATAAAAGAGACCTAATAAGTCCTTAAAGTTAAAACAAAACTAAACGTAGCACACTTAAACTAACATTTTAAGAAATAGTTTAAATAAAAATCAGGTAACTTTCAATACTGGCACAACTGCATTGCTCACAAACAAGAACACACCATTGCTCATAAATATGAGATCTAATACTGGAAATGGAATGAGAAAGTAGATAATTGATCATTAGGAGAGCACAGTATCCAAGTCAAGTTTCATTGTAAACCAGCTATTGGATGATCATATGATAGATAGTGTCAATAACGAATAAAATTATGAATGAGATTTACTTTTATCAATTTTCAGCCACCTTATTGATTTGACCTTATAGCAATCAAACTTTAGCTTCATTTAATTTATTTTATTTTATTCATTTCATAAATCAATCAGTTACAGCAACAAGGGGTTTTGGGGTTTTGGGG